CGAATTTCGAGATCGCGGCTTTTTACGGAATCGATGTTTTTACGGACGAAAGTCGGAATAGATTACGTAGTTGTGTCGGGTAACGTTAGGCCGTGATCGAGTATGCTTATTTTATCGAATTTGATTGATTTTTGTAAGTTTTTGCATTTTTGGAGATTTGAGGATTTAAGATTCGGATTGGAATCGGAAGTCGTAGATTTCGCGTTTGATGGTTCTAAATCACTAATATATGTTTAGTATGAATGAATATGTGTTTGTTTCGAAGAAAGTACTTGAATCGGTCAAATTTTCGGGCGAAGATGCTCAAACCTGTGGCAGTCTTTATGCAGAAAAATTCTGTTTTGGAGAAACTTCGAAAATTCATATCTCTTGATCCGTAACTCGGTTTTAGTCCCCGTTCGAAGCGTTGGAAAGCTAACGAGATGCTCTTTCTACGAAAAATTGTTTTGAGGCCTGTACCTGGTTCAATTATAGCAGAAAATTGAAAATGTATGGTGTGTTGATTTTTTGCCAAACCCGACAGGACCATTTGTTGTGTTTATGATGCCTTGTTGATATGATAAGTGAAACTTCAGTGAGTTTTGGTTATGCTTTAAGGCAACTTGAAGTACATAAGAGGAATCACCTGACAAGTGATTTAGACTTGGTCGCTGTTGTGGTTATACTGGAGTTGGAGGCTTCAATTAGTTAGTGTGAGACTTGAAATGTTTGGTGACCTCAAGGGCTTAAGGTATTTATTTGATTTGGAAGAGTTGAATATGAGGCAGAGGAAATAATTAGGACTCCGGAAGAATTATGGTTTGGATTGAATTTCCATTCGGGAAAGCAAAAACGTGGTAGCCTATGCAGTGATTTGGAAATCTTTGCATATGCCAATGATGGTAGTGAAAAGAGTTAGGACTGATTGAGCAATTTTTGTGATATGAGTTTGGTTTGTGAAGAGACTTCTTATGGAGTTAAGCTTAGTATGTTGGACCTTACTAAGGTTATTCTTGATGAGATTCGATAAGGGCAGAATTCTGAATTGAGTTGGCAGATTGGTTGAATCTGAGGAATTAAAGTCGAAGGGATGATTTTCAGATTAATGGAAATAGTATCACGAGATATCGTGATAGAGTTGTGTCCCAGATATTATTAAGTGGAATGAGAGTATTAAGGTAGATGGAGTATCCATCCCGGTGCTATGAGGATGTAACCGGATTTGAGGAAATTATTTTGAGGGCCATAATTGAAGAGATAAGTGGTTGAGTTTGTATGTGCTGATTAGACTTGTTAGAAGTCGAAGAATAAACGTCAGAGACCGTTGGGTCCGATGCAACCGTTGAATATTCCAGAGTGGAGATCGGATAGTATTCCCATGGATTTTGTGTTGGGTTTTCTGAAGAATTTGAGGGATATGATTTTACTTGGGTGATTTCGGATAGAATGACTAATTGGCTCTTTTCCTAACAAGTGAGATTAATCATTCTATGTTGAAGCTAGCTGAGATTGTGCAAGAGACGACTGAAAAAAATCCAAAGGATCCAAGAAAGACGTGTTTTAAGAGTTACGATAGTAACTGGTGTTGGTCGAGCTTGAGGTCTCGGAAGCACACTGTGTTTTGTTGATCTGTACCAGAGTGGCGCAGCGAAAGCATGGGAAAAATAGCAGGTTAGAATGTTCTACCGCTGTCACTCGTGGGAATTTACAGGATGTGGTATGTGTCTAAGTTGAAGAAGTACATTGATTCGGATGGATGGTGTACAAGTGAAATGTAATTTGACTGTTGAGGTGTTGCTAGTTCAGGTGGATGAACGAGAAGCAACTTCGAGGTGAAGAAATCGCTTGGGTGAAAGTGGTCTGGTTGGGAGCTGTTTGATTGAGGTAATTTCGAGGACGAAATTATTTTAAGTAGGGGAGAGTTGTAACGCCCGTTCATTTTAATTAAATTATTTATGAATTGTTGGTGTGCCTTTATGTGGGAGTGTGTCTGAGAGCGTTGGTGGGTGTCCTTAAAGTATAGGAAACCATTTAATAAATCATTGAGTTTGATAATAATATAATATAATTAATAATGATGATAATTTAATAACTAGTAGTAATATTATTATTATTATTATTATTATTATTATTATTATTATTATTATTATTAGTATTAGTATTAGTATTATTATTATTATTACTATTATTATTATTATTAGTAGTAGTAGTAGTAGTAGTGGATGGAATAAGGGGAATTAGGGAGTTATTAGAGAAGTTGTGGGAGAAAGAGCAAAAGAACGATAAACTGCTCAGAAAACCAAATTGGAGGAAAAAGGCTGAGAAAAGAGGAAAAAGAACGTGGTTGTGGAGAAAAGAAGAACAAAAGAATTAACCGCCAGAGAGAATTGAAGGTTGTTGCAGAAGAGTCACCGGGAGAGCAAACCGGAACCGGGAGTTTAGAGTTGTCCTCAATCCAAAGGTAAGGGTGGGGTTCAATTCTATAACTGTGGGTATGATCGATTTCATGTAGGGAATTGAATCATAGAATTAATGTTCCCGTAGGTTGATAAATATTGATAAATATTAAGGGTTAATGTTCTCGTAGTAACATTCCCATAGTAATATTCGCATAGTAATATTCCTGTAGTAATATTCCCGTAGTAATGTTCCCGTAGTAACGTTGCCGTAGTAATATTTCTGTAAGTTGAAGAAATATTAAGGGTTAATGTTTACCTGTGCATTTCTAAGGGTTAATGCATGTTTGTGTATGAATGAGTGTGTTATGCCATTAGTTTTGGGGGAAATTGGGAAACGGTGCCGACACGCGCTATTTTCCCGTTTATTAAGAAGGTGTTGTTATTATGTCCCTGTCTAATTAAATTAGAAGTTGTAGTTATGTTACCCGTATGAAAGTATATGAAAATGCTGTTGAATTCTCGATTGTAGAGACGAGGTTGTTTTTAATTGTTCCCTGCGAGAATGTGTTATATCGTTATTAGTACGATGCTCTAAGGTTTTCCTAATGGGGCAAATATGTAGAAATGAATGTGTTATATCGTTATTAGTACGATGCTCTAAGGTTTCCTAATGGGGCAAAAAGGGTAGTTGTCCTAATTGTTTCGTAATTAAACCTTGATAGAGATTTGTAATTAATTATGTGAATAGGAGCAAATATGTTGTCATTATGATCGTATGTTGAATTCTTAATTGTTGATTTAAGGCTGTTATTGCTCTCATACGTGAACAGGTGGAAAATGATAATGTCTTGAGTTGTATGAGAATGATGCTCTGTTATGGACAGTTTGGTTGTAAGTATAAAGCTTTTTGTTATGGTTGTGTTGTAGTCCATAATAGGTGCATTTCATGGCATATCATCTTGGTTGGCCTGTATTGGCGTTATTTGGAGTGTTGGCTCCTAAATGGGTTTTGGAGTGTTGGCTTCTATCCCGAGTTTTGGAGTGTTGGCTCTTATCCCGAGTTTTGGAGTGTTGGCTCATATCCCGAGTTTTTGGGTGTTGGCCCCAATGGTACCACATGTATATGCACAGTTGAGTTGCATTGTTGAGTCGCATTGTTGAGTTGCGTTATTGAGTTGTTTTGATGAGTTGCTGAGATATGATGATAATTGTTGTGGTTATGAATAAAGAGTTGTTGTAGTTTGTTATTACTAATATTTATGCGAACGGCTGGAATTATAATGCTGTGATAATATTCTGACATGACTTTTATCATGCCTTATGTTATATTGTTGATATCTCACCCTTTACGTTGTATGTTATCTCCGTTGGTGGTAATTTGCAGGTAATCCGGAATAAGTGTAGCTTTCCGTTTAAGGTTGTTGGTCGCTCTGATACGTAGTACTCTTGGGGGATGAACGATTGATGTTATTGCTTTTATTTAATTTCCTTGCTGCTGGATTTTATCAAGTATTTTTCATTAAATTGGTGGCTGCTGTTAAGTTCCAAATGTTGGCTGGATGCACTATACCGATGAATTAGTAGTGCTGATTTTTATGGTTGAAACTCGTTGTTTATGTTGAATTGATGCAAGATAATTACTTGCTGAATTTTAATGGAGTTTTGTTGCAAGTTTCATGGTCTTGCTTTAATCATGCTAAATGTTGGAAATGTTTTATATTCCGCTGCAAATTAATAAGATGCCTTGTAATCAAAATGTTAATCAAGTTATGGTTGTATGTTCATCCAAGCTTATGTGCTATGTATCATTACTAAATGCATGTTGTCTAATTGAATTGTGAAATGTATGTTTCTGTGAGTTGAAATTGTAACACCCAGAATTTGTTGATGTGACGGTCGTCACAACTTCCTTACGATCGTCATGACCGTCACGGTCGTGACATCCCCTTACGACCGTCATGTTTACAAAATTTGTTGCACTCTGATTCTGTTTTCCTTAATTATCCGTCGGGTTAGATTGGGGTGTTACAGTTTTCAACTCTGATTTGAATCATCTAGAGAGATCAAAGTTGACCATGGGAATGTCAAAGGCGTCTTTTAGAGTTAAAAAGTTTAAGAATCAATTTGTAGATTTGAGACATGGTGAACTGATTCAAAACTGCATAGACTGTCTTATTGTTGGTCTTCTTGTCATGTCCTCCTCACTTACAAATGGTGTTTATGTTTATTCCTATGAACAAATTGCTAAATCAACTACATCATGCAATCGTTCAAATAAGGCAAGTATATAATATTTTTCCGCTGATTATGTTGTTAATTTAGTGCTTTCTAAAGTCATGTGTAACAATACATTTGATACCTTGGCCCCATTTTAATAGTATGACATTAATTCCAGCTGCATATTGATCCAACACTGCCTTATTTGGAAAATGTTAGTGATGCCCTTTTCTATTTTAGGAATTCAAGTCGTGGTGGAGTCCGAAATCAATGTTCTCTTTGGATTCAAAGTTACACGTTTTATGGTGTCAAGTTCAAGTTATGAGCCGAATGGCATTTGGCGTCTTAGTGATTTTTGCAATTGCATATTTACTAATCTTGAGATCAACAACGGTATCAGACTCAATGCCAGTTACTTTCATTCTTTTGCTATTAGGAGTTACTTGTGGCTATTGTGGCAAAGTTTGTATAGATACCTTGGGAGGTACTGGCTTTTTGTGGCTCTTATATTCGGCAGTTTTGTGCATGGGGCACTTCTTATCAATTGTTTTCACTCCCACTTTGTTCAAGATCCTTCATGGATCAGTTGCTGCATCGCAGCAAACAAAGCATAATATAATTCTTCCATATTGGTTTCGCCGATTTTGGTTCTATGGAACTTTGCTTGTGTTTCTACCATTATTTTGTGGTCTTACGCCTTTTGCGGGTGTTAATCAATGGAAAGACCATTTTTTGATGAAGGTGTCAATATTTAACAAATTGGAATGAAAGGTTGTTGTTTGGTCTTGGGCTACTTTGCTTGTGATTAGCTAAGGCATTAATGAAGCAAAAACGGTATGAATTGCATTTATTCGGTTGCCATTTTGTTTAGTTTATTATAGAAGGGCTATTTTGAAAATCAGCATCAAATTTATTATAGAAGGCTATTGTTGACAGGTTGTCCACTTGTGAAATCTTCGGCATTAAATGTAATTGTTGTCACATATTTAATTTGTGTATTTTTCTCAACCATTACTTAATATATCTAATGACCACCTTATGTAACTTATCTAACCGTTGTAAATTGTCACAATATAATTAACTTACTATCTCTAATTAATTTTAAACAAATTACCATAAGAAATTAAATAATTAAATTTATTAATTCATTTTTACAAATATATATAAATAAATTATATATTAATTAAAATTAATGGACCCATCGTATTTTACTAGTTAACTATAGTATCAAAATTTATTAAAACCATAGGAACATTTATTTATTTCCTCTACTTTCTCTGCTTTTCACGACTCTTTCTCAAGTCCAATGCCCTCGCTTTCCCTGCAAAAGTGAACACAGCTACCCTTGTTTTTAATTTCCTTTAACACTGCTCAGAAGCCCCACTTGTTTATGTTTATTCAACAGATAATAGACTTTAATGCATTGAATTTAACAACAACAAAAAACTCCATCTAATTACATGCTCTTGAATATCAATAATAAATTGAAAATTAAAAAAAAATTCCTACCAATATCCATCCATCTTTTTTTGTATAACAACTGTACATTGTTTTTATTTTTCTGCTATCCAAGCATTTTTCAATCTAATCTTAGGGAAACAATTTCTTTTTACCCCTCTCTACTATATTTTCCATCTCATTTTCATAATCCTATTAAGTAACCACAAAAAATTAACCCCACCCATTTTATAAGAAAAAAAATTCTCAACTTAAAACATATTTCCATATACAAATTTTCCCTGATCCAGCATTATCATGGATGTATCTTTAAAATTCAGCCAAGAAACAACTCCAACTCAAGTGAGATTCTGAGGGCCCACTTGAACACAGAGTGACATGTTTCACAGTCAACTCTAGTCCTCTGCTTCTGCAAGTGGGATTCAAACTTCCAAATATTTTTCCTAGATTTTTGTGATCATGATCCATTGCAGTTTTTTCAATCTTCAGGAGGAAATATTTTAGCTTGATCTCGTACTCACTGCTACCAATCTTCAATGAATATTCTCCCTATAAAATCTCGAAACCTCTTTGAGTATAGCTTTGGATCAACAGCAGAAATTGAAGTAGGGTCAACTTGCAAGGACTTGTAAGCATGCTCAAGCTTCTTGCTAATATCATAGTCTTGCAAAATATCAATAATCCCAAAATATAAAACGCAATCATAAGTCTCCCCACTGCTATAAGGGTTCAAATGGCTGATTCCGACATTGGTGTATTGATCAAAATCACTCCTCCTTGCTAGTCGCTCGGCTCTTGCTGGCATATTGGCTCCTAGTCTAATTAATGATTTCCTGAAACAAGAAATCATACTTATTACGAATTTATATAGAAAAATACCAACAATCTTGAAAAGTTTAGGGGTGTGATTAAATAGTAAATAAATCAGAATCTTCAAACCATATTAAGTATGGTTTCCCAAAGCAAAATATCATACTTAATAAATGTCATAAAATTTGAATTCATGTATAAAAATACTAACAGTCTTGAATAGTTAGGAGTGTAAATAGTATAAAAAACAGAATCTTCAAACAATACAGTAACTGATATTTGAAATTGTTGTGCCAGTAAATGACAGTGTATAGGATAAATCAAGAAATCAATGCAAAAAAGGTAAGAAACAAACATGATAGCAATCATTGAATTTATTGTCAGGCCAGAAATATATTAGAAATCAAATTAAATCTAATAAAATTGACCATAGCTTTCATGTGTCCCACAAACAACTATTTCTTGCAATACTATGCCGCCTTAACTTGCCAACATAATGCAAACTACTCTCAATTATTATCATGAACGATATAAATTATGATGAAGAAATTATCAAACAATTTTAATGCCATTAATGAATTAGGATTAAAGCTCTCAATTATTATCATGAAAAATATAAATTAAGATGAAGAAATCATCAAACAATTTTAATGCCATTAATGAATTAGGATTTAAGCTGGCATGAAACTTATTCTTCTATGATACTGTCAAGAGATAACAATATCTAGAATTTTAATTGTAAGGCAATGCAACTAATTCAAACAAACTCAAATACATCTAGTGAGCACACACAGTTCAAACAAACCAATCCAATTAAGTTTAGGTTGCAAGTCATCTCATTTAATCATTTAATAAATTAAAAACTAAAAAAATTCTATATTATTTAAAGCAACTAGAACAGATCATGACATACCTTCCAGATTTGACTCGATCCCTATCTTGCAGCTCTGCTTCAAGAAAGCGATAACCACGCATAAACTTTTCATAATGATATGAATCTTGATTGCCTAAAGGGAATAGAAAATTACTTTGAGAATATGTGTAACATAAACATTTAACCATATGCACTGAAGTGGGTAATGGATCAATACCAGTGCGTACAAGAAAAGGTGACAACCCTATTTTGTCATATGGTTTGTCATCGCGAAAATGAAGTCCAACCAAAAGACTGTAATCCATTATTTTCTCAGTTTCCAAAAACTCGCAATCACGCTCAATTTGTCTGAACACAATATCATAACTAGTCAGACATGTACGCCATAATGTTTCACAGCTAAGGAACAGCCTAGAAATTCATAGATATAACAAATTAACATGACAACTTACTTAATAAGATCCTGGAACCAATTTCTTTGAACCCGAAACACATAATTCAGATCAAGGTCCTTGAGGGTGGTGGTTTCATCAATCTCATCCTCAGGTTTGTCTGTTGCACGACCATGTGAAGATCCTTTTAAATCAAATCTTCTATGAATTGGATATTCAGAGCAGAAAAGGTTTCCCATCACAATAAACCGAATCTGATTTTTAAACAATTAAAAGTCAGGTACTGAGTAACATAAGAGAAACTCTTCAAACAGCTAGGATAATATATCTATCAATTCATACCTTCTGGCCTCCAATTGGTTTAACACAATGTACCCCGTAGAATTTTGTCACGAGTGAATTTTCATATTTAGACACGTGTTTGTAATAGCTTCGAAGCATCCGAAGAAGGACCTAAAAGTTGATAGTAAAGAACCAGCCATCAATGTGGGTATAGATCGAGTCAAAAACACTTACAGACACTTGGAGTTGAATTATACTCCCTCCATTTTAAAATGAAAGTCGTTAAGGTTTGTGCACACAGATTAAGGAATTCGATAAATTGTTAAAAGATACTGCTGCACTTTTGCTAAATTAACCTTATTAACATGTTGGAATAGAAGGTAAGAATCTGGGTTTAATCATGATATTCAAATAGCAACAAAGATAGACCTCCCTCAAAGAAAACTAAGCTGTATATTCAACTAATGATTTGATTAACGGTTATGTGAAAAGACAGAAAATAATCATTTTGTCATGTGGTATATAATATTCTTAGCACGCTAGCATAAAACTCTTGTGAAATTCAAGAGACACAAAATTCAACATACATATATACAGTACAAAATATGTATCTATCTAACCTTAACTTCAGATTTCTTCACTGTCTTAATCATGAATCGATCATCTTGGGTCAAGTAGAAGACACTTCCGCTTTTCCCGGGAGAGGAAAGTTCTCTGAGAGCATCATTCCCACATATAGCCAGCATGTAATCAGCCAGATCAACCTGAAACAGCTTCCTCAAATGTCTGAAGATTCAAACCAAAACAAAGTCAACAACAGAGCACAACACAATTTCAATACGCTAAACAACACACAAATACAATCCATAAAAACCCAAAATACTTTCAACACAGGTCTCCTTAGTCTTCACCAAAACATCAATACTAAAACAGACAAACATAATTAAATAAAATTCAACAAGAAAAAAGAGAGCTATACCTAAAAACCACAGGGCAGTAATCTTTCCATCGAAACTCTGCAGTTTGATGGGGTGGGGTAATTTTGGATCCTTCTGATGGGAATTTTGTCCAGAACTTCTCCTTAGAATCAAAATCACTAGGTTTAAGCTCTCGCAACTTAGATGCTTCCTTCCCAACGGTGTACCTATACAAGACATGAGTTAAATTAAACAACAAACGCAAACACACAAAACAATAACAAAAGAATAGAAATGATTAAGTACCATAGAGACAGTAATTTACCTAATCCCCAATTGCAAATTGAGCATCAACTCATAATTCTTATGCCCTTTAGAAATAGTTTCACCAGGTCTCTTAACTTCAGAAGCAAAACAACAAGGGTGCTTTCGAAATTCATCAGGCTCAGACACCGTTCCATCGCGATAAAACATGGATGCTTCCAGATTATCAACAATATCACAAGTGATATCACCCGCTTCACCCTCAGATTCCCAAATACAAATCCTAGGAAAACTCTTATCATTCACACTCCCTCTAGCACTAACAGTATCAACGGACGACCTCTTCCTCATCGTCACAGGGGCAAAACTGTCATTCCATAACAATCCCCCACCACCACCACAACTTGAACCCTTGAAATTCAAACCATGCTGTATCTTCACAACTCCTTGTCCTTTCGGTACGCCATTCTCCCACTGACCCTCGTAACGGTTTCCGTTAACCCATACTAACTGACCTTTACCAGAAATAACGCCGTTACGCCATTCTCCAACGTATTCATTCCCATTCTTCCAAGCGTAACGCCCCTGACCGTCTTGAACGTTACGCTTCCACCATCCCTCATACAAATCACCGTTCGCGTAACGTTTCTGACCGAACCCGTGCTTCCTATCGGAGCTCCATGACCCGCGGTAAGTATCTCCGTCGGATCCAACGAAAGTCCCAAACCCTTCCATTCGACCCGACTTGAACTCTCCCTCGTAAGTCGCACC